TGAGTGCAGAAGGGATGAATTATTTTGCAAAGCGATAAGTCTTTAGAGCAGGTATAGAGCATATCTTCGTCCTGATGGCACAGACGAAATTAATCTGCAAGAACATGACCTGGAGAGTTCAGAATGCTCTCTGCTTTCCGCAGAATCTGTTGGTTACAGAAGGAATTTAAATCTCTCTGTTTCACTCCGATGACCTTAGAGCAGGTTTTAACAATGTTGTTCAGGCTGTTCCTGTCTTTCAGTGTAAGGCTATGGAACCAGCAGATAAAATTAAAAAAAATAAGGCTCTCAATGAATGCTTGGTAAAAACGACAAAGAATGAAAGGCCTGAAGAGTTCAGTTTGCGAAGAAGGTGCATTCTCTGTTGACCCCGCTTCACAATACACTCAGTATTCACATCAAATTTGAGATGGTCATCGAAAATGGTGCCCAAGTATTTGTATGATGTGACAATTTTTACCTTGTCATTGTGTATGATGCATTAGGAACATCCTTGTGACGTCTAAAATCAATTATCAATTCCTGGGTTTTAGAGATATTTAAATCCAGAAAACTGTCATCACACCAGGAAATAAAATCAGTAAGAGCACACTCATTACATTACATGTCACTTGTTAGACGCTTTTATCAAAAGCGACTTACATAGTCAATACTGTGGGCAATCCCCACAGGAGCAATCTGGGGTGACGTGTCTTGCCCAGGGACACAACGACATGTTGACTGCAGTGGGACTCGAACTTGCTATCCTCTGATTCGAAGATCAGCACACTAACCCACTGAGCTACAGCCTCCCTCGTGGCCTGATTCTGAGCCGCTAAGGAGAGACAAGAGGGTGGTATCATCAGAGAATTTAACCAGGTAGCTGTTGTCTTGCATGCTCCTGCATTTATCAGTGTACATTATAAAAAGTAGGGGCGAAAGAACGCATCCTTGAGGCGAGCCTGTGGAAGTGATGACAGAGTCCGAGAGGCGTCTATTAGTTAGAAAGTTTAAAATCCATAAGGAAAGTATCATGGAAAGTAGCCTGCATGAACCCCACATTAAGTACATTCCTGACTAAATGTAGTTTGGTTAATTCCACCACTGTTGAAATATTTATTAACATATATTACGGCTTAAATGCATTCAGCATTACCTAATAATTCCTATTTAGATTTACTCCAAAAAGAGAGACACATGTTTTTTTATTCTGTTGTACTACTGGTTATAAAACTACAATGGGCCTTTGTGTAAGCATTTTTACTTTACTTGCTAAAGACAAATCACTTGCGATACTAATAACATTTATAATGACTCAATATTAAGTGTCTCAATGAAGCAAGACCGTTGTTAGTATTTTCCCAACAACGGTGTAGTCAGTCATTGTTTGTATTACTTATGCCTTTTTCTTAGAATGACATGTGTCATACTTGAAAAAGTCGTAAAAGGATGTCATCATAAAACATTCATCATCATATATTTTAATGTCTCCTTCCAAACCTTGGTCAGGTTAACCTACTATCCCTTATCTTTGTGTTTATAGTATTTATGGTATGTCCGGATAAATCTTTTTAAAACAATGTTATTCAGGATGAGCCCATTGTAAGAATTGTTTTTATACTAGAATTTGAAATAGGGCCAATCTTTATATAGGACTTCAATGCCTGATAATGAAGAATGACCTAGCTTAACACCAACACACACAAAAGACAAAACAGAAGGACAGGGATTCCCTTGATATTTAACAGAGTTTCATTTCTTTCAATGACCGCATATAGATGGAAGGGAAACTCTTTTGTCACACAGCATCCACAGACACACACACACACACACACACACACACACACACACACACACACATATTTTTTATCTTTTGACCAAAGACTAACCAATAACACTGATAACCATACTCAATCTTGTGCATTTCTCAAAACAGCCTCTAAACCTCTCATTGTTGTTCAATCCAATTTAATTTATCACATGTAAATAATATTCTCTGACTGACAAACATTCACTACAATTTATTTCGGGAGCACAAACAAATAAAGATTGCTTTTCAGAAACAAGCAGATAGCAGTACCAACTGCACTCTTTGTAGCACCATGCAATGCATTTGTACGTAGGAAGTTGTTACAGATAGCTATTAGATTATGAGGTAGTCTTTGAGTTTTAAAATCCCCTAGAATAGTGAGAAGTGATTTCTGTAAACCAAAGTGTTATCAGCCCTTCCTCCCAAGTACAGCCCACATAACAACATACTGTAAGAAAGGTGGTATACAGGAAATGTATTGTGCTGTGGGCAGTATGGGGGTGGAACTTCACTTCCACATAACGCTTGACTATCTATAATGTCTTTTCATCAGTTTTGTAATAAATATGCAAACTGTTGATTTATATATTTCTTTGCAGTCTTACATTTTACCTGGATGTACAATTCCTGTTATACCCTCTTATCCAATACATAAAGCTCTAATTTATCCCATTATACCAGAAACAGCAATTCACCTTCACAAACATGCATGCCACCCATATAGTGTAAGTGTATTTTTGATATGGAATGCAATTCTTAACCTGATGGAATGAAAATGTTGCCTTTGACAATAACAAATGATGTCTTACAGTAATTTACATTCTATTAACAATGACTATTTAGCTATTTCACTTGTGTACATTTAGGCAACTACCTAATTAGTCATTTAAAGTCAGATGATTCAAAAAGAAACCAGATATAAAGTGGTTTACCGACTTGCGTTGGGATGGGCTATGAATATAATAGGGATGAGTCATTGTGTGGCTCTACGTTCTGGGTACATATCAAACTTTTCAGAGATACACACGAAAATCCCCAGGCATTCCCTGTTTAATGTCTTAGTTACACTGAACAAAAATATAAATGCAACACTTTTGTTTTTGCTCCCATTTTTCATGAGATGAACTCAAAGATCTAAAACATTTTCTATATACACAAAATAACCATTTCTCTCAAATATTGTTTACAAATCTGAAAAAATCTGTGATAGTGAGCACTTCTCCTTTGCAGAGATAATCCATCCAACCTCACAGGTGTGGCATATCAAGATGCTGATTAGACAGCATGATTATTGCACAGGTGTGCCTTAGGCTGGCCACAATAAAAGGTCACTCTGAAACGTGCATTTTTGCTTTATTGGGAGGGTCTGGGAGGTCCAAAAACCAGTCAGTATCTGGTGTGAGGGGTAGGGTTAGGGTTAGGGTTAGGGTGTTGTGAATCGAGTGGCCTGTGTTCGTCGTCCATAACATACGCCTGCTCATACCATAACCCCACCACCATCATGGGCCACTCAATTCACAACATTACCCTAACCCTAACCCTAACCCTACCCCTCACCAGGTTTTCAGACCCCCCCAGACCCCCCAATAAAGCAAAAATGCACGTTCAGAGAGGCCTTTTATTGTGGCCAGCCTAAGGCACACCTGTGCAATAATCATGCTGTCTAATCAGCATCTTGATATGCCACACCTGTGAGGTGGGATGGATTATCTCGGCAAAGGAGAAGTGCTCACTATCACAGATCTTTTCAGATTTGTGAACAATATTTGAGAGAAATGGTTATTTTGTGTATATAGAAAATGTTTTAGATCTTTGAGTTCATCTCATGAAAAATGGGAGCAAAAACAAAAGTGTTGCGTTTATATTTTTGTTCAGTGTAGTTAGAGGCTATTCAAAGAATAAAGAAAAGACTAAGAGCAGAGACACTGAGTCAAAACTGGGTGACAAAACCATGTATTTGTATTCTTCAAATGTCAAAGTGAAGTTAACACTTCATTAAGTTAGCAGAAACAGAAGTGAAAAGATGTTCTAAATGTACACAGAAAAATATTGTGAAACACAAACGTTTTTTTCTGTGTACCACACACCACAATTGTAATAATAATACCATTGTGGTGTGTGGTCCACAAGTCATCTGCAACAGTGTCAGCTGTGGGAGCATATTGGACCTTTTTGAAAATGTTTTACACCACCTGTATCCAAAAGTGCTTTTTGAAAATCTCATTAGCGGTGTCTGAGTTATTGTGTGACATCACCGGCATTCAAGCACCCTCTTTTCTTTTCTGCAATGTGTAAGATGGAGGATTAGAGACACACAGTTGAACATAATGCATCTCAAATGTTATCGTAAATGATGCATGCCACTGCTCTATAGAAATATTCAAATGTATTCTTGTGTCCCAAGTGGCCACTTTTTTACCCAAAAGGGAAACAGTTGGCCTGTTTAGTAACACTTGCCTCTTTTCTTGCACAATAAAACATTTGTGTATTATTTATTTAAGGAAATACAAATCTAAATTGTAAAGGTTTTTCTTGGATAGGAGAGTTTCCACTTCTCCCATCATGTCTCATTAAGATTATGAAATAAGAGTTGACTGATTAAATGAATTATCTTACTATGATCTGTAGTATCCTACTCCCCCTCCCTCTGCATTCCTTGTGACTTAGTTATGTGATGCCTTCCTTCAGAAAATAAATAAAACCAATCGTAGCAGCAGAATATGAATGCAATACTGCATATTACTGTAACATTTGACTGTGATTCATACCACAAGGTCTGATGAGAGTGAGAATGAGCTAGTTAGCAGACAGGGAAGGTCATGAAGATTTTTCCGCTGTGATATAACATGTGCCAAAGCCTAAATGTCCTGACAAACATGATTCTGTGGAAGCCTTCTTTAGGCTTCCCAACAGTAAGTCATAATGTTCAATTTAAATCTCAAAGTGACTTACTGCACACTGACATAGAACAAAGCCATTGTTATTGTTACTATTGTAACACCTGTTTTCTCATGTTATAATAAGTTATCTGCTGTGATCAAAGATATAACAAGCTTTGTTTAAAACATGCATGTACAAACAAAACCTGCTCAGGTTGACATCAGATTGTGTGTCATTGCTTGTCACATGTCTGTTTTGCCCTGCCCCTTTTATTGTTTCTTTCTGAATGAAGAGGAAGTGTATTTTCTTCTCACTCTCATTCTGACTAAGACAGCGGACACAGCACAATGGTAAGAGCTTAGTTTGTTTTATTTTCCTATGTCTTTTATGATAACATTTAATGTTATTGTTATGGATAAGTTTGTTCATTGTCTGTTACTATAATGTCAGATAGGAAGTCTCTCATGCATGTACATAGTTTTCTGTATCCAAAAAATACTTGAAAGGACACTGAGCAGCAGCCTGCAAATACTGTGTGTGTTTGTGTGTGTGTGACTAGTTTTATCCTTAAGTAAACTAACTCCCAACATACCGCCTCTGTGAACTTGATCTATACATATCACTGTAGGAATGCTATTTGCAAATAGGCACTGCTGATTGAATATATCCTTGTGTGTATAACTATATTTGTGACAAAGACAGAGATCATTTTCTTTACTCTCTTAGAGTATCTCACTCACATTAAATAGGTTTCACCCTGAACATTCTTGAACCATAAGAAGTGTCAAACCTCTCCTACGTTAAAATGAATTAAACTAAATGTGAGATAACATGAATCCAATGTGTGAATCTGGTATGTGGTTTCGTAGCTTATCTGATTAGTGTAAATCATGCAGTCATTTATGTATCATCGATTGTAAATCACGTTACGTCATAGGGGACTCCCCATATCGAAACTCTCTGTCTAAAGACTCAATAAAAACGTTAAACTCTCTGTTACTGTAGGTGATGATAGATACGTGATAGTAGACCGCACACAGTCAATCATAACGCTCAATCAATGCTATGCAATATTTTGCCATCGCTTTCTGAAATCTTCTAAAACTTGTGTACATTCTATTGCACAGTCCATTACAACGAAAGTGTGGACTCAAACAATGCCAAAGAGAGGACTTAAGACTTTTCTGATGCAGTGTAAACAAAGACAATCTGCATTAGCTCTTTTAAAGTTGTCCTTAATGCAGTTTTATTACATTACATGTGATAATTACTATACTTTGGTTGCTGTTGTAAAAGACAGACACGGTCATAGAAATTAGGGGAAACACAATGAACCGTTCTTTAGGTATTCACGTGGCCCCTGGGGATTCCCTCAGATGTGGTTTCTGTCGAGAAGACACTTCTGCTTATGCTTTCTTATTTTTAACTTCATATTCTCTAAATGTGTGTTTTAAATGCAAAGTGTTGAATATGAAGAATGTTCCTCGAAAGAGTGAATGTAACACGTGTTATTAGACTGTGAGTATGAGTTAAGAAAGACCGTTTGTAGGGCGTGTGATGCATTTTGCCTCGTGTTTTGACTCGTGTTTTGACTCAAAACACAAAAATATTCAAGTTAAAACTAAATACACTATTAACTGATGGTTGTTTTTTATAATATACTTTTATAATACTTCATACGAAATATAAGAATATGAGAAGTTACTGTCTCAAGTGTGAAGGTAGGTTTTTTTGGCAGATACTGGGGCTATTGCCTAATGCTCAATGGGACTTTCCTGAATCTTGGTGTTCAAAACAAGGTTTGTTTTTTCAGGATGACAGAAACCATTACCCTAACTTCACTTACTGTAAAAGGCCAGTCGGATATTTCAGATACTGTTTTGTTTCCGTAGAATTCCACACACAACGTGATCACACATAAGACACTATTCAAATATGTAAATGCTAAATAAATCTGTGGTTTGATAGGTGATAGGGCAGGTTTTATATTGCAGACTCCCCAAGGCAGCAAATACGACATCCATGTGTTTAACAGTTTACAAGATGTCTAAGATTTTGATTTATAAAATATTCTAAGCATGTGACTCACTGGCCAAATATGATTATGAATTCCTGAATGAGTATTGCTCCTGTGCACTGATTTAAAAGACAACAAATTAAATTAAAAAAGAATCAATACTATCACTTAAATTGATTTTTCTTTTCAACAGGCATTCCCTTCCAACCTACAGTGTTTCCCGTAAGTACCCTTTGCCTTTTTTTATTACCTCATCCTTATTATTGTATTTCAAACACCTACAAAATGCTGACAGCAGCCTTTCTTCAAGCCAGCCACAATTGATCTCCAGAAACCAGTTATTATATATTTTCAACAATATACAGGTTGTATCATGCTACAATAAATGTACTTTGCTGTGAATCATAGGACAATGGTTTAGTTGCTACCATAACAGTCTTTGGTTTAGTAATATTTAAAAATAATGACAGTTGATGACAGAGGAGGGGCCGGTTGAGTCAATATTTGCAATGGTGGCTCATATTTACCTCTTATGACAGTATCTCTGGGCCAGGGGTATTTTACTATGAAGTTGCAGAGCATTTTCTTTCTGTCACACAGTTTGTACTCATCTCTGTGTCACTGGTATTCCAACCCTGTCTCCTAAAAATTACGTTCCCACAGAACTAAACTGCATTCTCAATTACGTTTAGCTAGAAACGTATTTTCTCCCACGTTACGTTTGTTATGAACGTATCTCAAATACGTTTATTTTCTACATATCTTCTAGAAACATATCTTCTCCCACGTTACGTTCGTTATGAACGTATCTTAAATACGTTTATTTTCTACATATCTTCTAGAAACGTATTTTCTCCCACGTTACGTTCGTTATGAACGTATCTTAAATACGTTTATTTTCTACATATCTTCTAGAAACATATCTTCTCCCACGTTACGTTCGTTATGAACGTATCTTAAATACGTTTATTTTCTACATATCTTCTAGAAACGTATTTTCTCCCACGTTACGTTCGTTATGAACGTATCTTAAATACGTTTATTTTCTACATATCTTTGCCATTTATTGCCTTGCTTATAATAATGATAATAGTCATTTATAAATATCATTTTAGAGCACACATTTGAAATCGAGAATCGGGCTCGATATATGGTTAAATTAAAATCAGTAGGAGAGGCTGTAATTTCGGCAGCTGTTACTCTCATGAGCGAGGCAGAAAATAATAGTTTTAACATGACAAAAAGCTGCTGTGTCGTTTATTGCACCTCAAAGATTAAAACATATCCAGAGTTACTTGTTTCTGTACTTCCTCTAAGAAGAAAGGACAGTAAAAGAAGAGCTCTGTGGCTTCAGGCTTGATCGCCGTTCAAATGACAGCATTGGTTTCCCCAAAAGTGGGCGGGGCTGTAAAGTGACGTAGATTTTACTCTCATCTATTATTCAAAACCATTCTATTTATTCTAACGTAAATTACATGCCAGTGTTTTATCTTTTTATTTATTTGTTTTTATTTTAAATCGTATAATGTCGGACTTTTTTCCCATCTGTGAGGAAAATAAATGGGGTTTAGAGCCTCAAAATACTGAAATCTGTATTTTTTAAAATCTTTTCCTTCTAATTTGTTATTCTTTTCTAAATAACACACTGTTATTTACTCAACCATAACACACAATTATCCTTGTTTTTATTTATTCGTTTAATTCTATAATCTTGGGCTTTTTAGCCGTAAATAAAGTCACCGGAAACAGACGGGACATTTCGAGCGATACACACCACAAACCCACCGAACTGATTACCCAAGATCCTCAGCTTGAAGCTCGTTGATTGGAGGTTTTAGCCGCAATAAACGCTGGGATATGGTGTTAATAAGTTGTGATATCCGAAAACGAAACATAAAATAATACCTAATTCAGAGTGTTCTTGCTTTTCTCTTTGGAAGTCATCACATAACGGCATTGTAATACACGGTTCGGCTGCATTAAATATTATACATCTGCCGTAGTTCTTTATTTATAGAGCCCTGATGAGAAGACTTCTAGACAAACATGAGGAACTGCCGCCAAAACTGAATACTTGATGTGGATCATAAATATATCAACAATTAAACAACATCTTCAATTTCTTTTCACAAAATACGTCTCCTTGCAGTATCAATAGTAATTCGGCTGACTTTTATATTTGATCCAATTGGTAGATAATAGGTTATATTTACACCATAACGGTGCACAGCTGATAGAAAAGGACTTGTAGTTTTTAAAGATATTACTGATTTTCTTTGAATATAAGAATGTAAATACTGAGTTGAGAGAATAGTCAGGGGATTTGGGTGATGGGAGACACATCTATGGATTCAGAATTTCAATAGCGTACCATTAAATGACAGATATACCTTTCTGTCTGTGATGTTTTACAAATCAGATATTAATGTGTAGAAGTAAAACATGTGAAATAATATAGCAATATCCTGTAAAATTATGTAAAAACATGAATAAAACTACACATCTTCAGATATTATACATACATAAGTGTTCTACACTAATAATACAAAGTTATTATTAGTATGCTGTGTGTACCTTGTGTGCACCGCCTAGTGGTTAAAGCACGTTATTGAATTATTTTTGTTGAATAATGTTATTTGATGAAAACAATATTAAGAGTACATACTTTCATAGGGGGGAAAGTAGAAGGTCAATGATAGAAATATAGAATATAAAAAGTCAAGAAGATACTATAAGTGATCTCTACAATAAAACAGTTTAGTGCCGGATGTACAAAGATATTAATAGGAGGATGTGCAAAACAGAAAAACGAATTAACCTTTATTAACACATTAAAGAATACTTTAGGTTAAGGTCTTATTTTAAACAAGAAAAAAGCTTTGGGGGTATCTATCTACCGATGAATATTAAGCCTGACAAAGTACTTAACGTCTAATATATTGCTTTCCTGCAATGTTAACTATGTTGAAGCACTTCTTTTAACTGATATTATACACATTAATTATACTCTTATGTATGTAGATAGAATAAGAAATGTGCAGAATATGACAGTTTAATGGTGGAGGCACACACATATTGATAGATGTCTTGTAATGCGCTGTTGAGGAACCTGCGACCCAAGTTGTGTATATGATCAATAAACCTTAGAAAATCTTGAAATCTTGAAAGGGATGTGCAAATAGCCATTATACAGTTTTTAATTAACTATTAGTAGAGAATAACGAGTAATGAATATACTTTATAGAGATCTGCAGATAAATGTTTCGTCTTCTCAAGCACCACCTATCAAATATTTCTCCTGATTGTTGGCACTTGACAATCACCTTCCCTGAATTTTACTCAGGTGTAACTAAAGTCTGCTTTAAGGGTTGTTTATATTTCACATCATTAATCAGAATCTGCAAAGTAACTAAACTAAATGTAGTGGAGTAAAAATACCAGGTTAACCTCTGAATTGTAGTGGAGTAGAATTACAAAGTAAGCTGTCGTGTGGGTATATATTAATGCTGCCCATTATGGATATAAGCGATTTTTACCCATTTAGTAATTACATGTTTTAAATGTGTACACACCAATGTGTTTCCTATCGCCTAAACCTCCAGGGCTGTACACAGTTTAATACTGGCAACTTCTAATTTTGGGAAAAACGTCTTTTAAAACTACAATTCCCAGTAGATACGTGCCATAGAGAACATGTTGCGAAACACAATAGCCAGCATGTGTATTTCTCGGGGGGCGTTGGAGTCCAGTTTTGAATAGTCTGCCGTGGTTTCGTTCCATTTCAAAGAGCTTGACGCTCGGCGTAACCTTGGCGCACTACCACTCCAACATCACGGGGTTTGTCAACGGGACTGTAGTCCCAAACGATAGCTGGGGATTATGGGTAATGTAGTGTCTTCGGCCATCCTAAATCTCGAAATGTCCCGTCTGTTTCTGGTGACTTTATTTACGGCTAAAAAGCCCAAGATTATAGAATTAAACAAATAAATAAAAACAAGGATAATTGTGTGTTATTGTTGAGTAAATAACAGTGTGTTATTTAGAAAAGAATAACAAATTAGAAGGAAAAGATTTTTAAAAAATACAGATTTCAGTATTTTGAGGCTCTAAACCCCATTTATTTTCCTCACAGACGTTTATACGATTTAAAATAAAACAAATAAATAAAAAGATAAAACACTGGCATGTAATTTACGTTAGAATACATAGAATGGTTTTGAATAATAGATGATAGTAAAATCTACGTCACTTTACAGCCCCGCCCACTTTTGGGGAAACCAACGCTGTCATTTGAACGGCGATCAAGCCTGAAGCCACAGAGCTCTTCTTTTACTGTCTTTTCTTCTTAGAGGAAGTACAGAAACACGTAACTCTGGATTTGTTTTAATGTTTGAGGTAAACGACACAGCAGCTTTTTGTCATGTTAAAACTATTATTTTCTGCCTCGCTCATGAGAGTAACAGCTGGCGAAATTACAGCCTCGCCTACTGATTTTAATTTAACCATATATCGAGCCTGATTCTCGATTTCAAAGGTGTGCTCTAAAATGATATTTATAAATGACTATTATCATTATTATAAGCAAGACAATAAATGGCAAAGATATGTAGAAAATAAACGTATTTAAGATACGTTCATAAGGAACGTAACGTGGGAGAAAATATGTTTCTAGAAGATATGTAGAAAATAAACGTATTTTAGATACGTTCATAACGAACGTAACGTGGGAGTAAATACGTTTCAAGCTAAACGTAATTCAGAATGCAGTTTAGTTCTGTGGGAACGTAATTTTTAGGAGACAGGGTTGGGTATTCCCAGTGTTACCTTGGTAACCATGAAAACAATTATAAACCATTTTAATTATGCTTCCTCCTGTGTTCCTATAAACCAAAGGAGTTCCCTCTTCCGGCTGGCCCAGTTGTATATTATGACTGGTGCTATTTCTGTCACAGGTAAGCAGTTCACCTCATATCAGTGCATTAACAACACACTCTTGTCTTGGTTTACAGTAGAACCAGTTGTATATATAAATAGATTACATGCATACCGTAAGGACTTTTGATATCACAATACTTTGCTTGATCGAAAACAAGTACCAAATGTATTATATTAGATTAGAAACCAGCAGTGTTGGAGCTCCAAATAATCGAAATAACTGAGTTATAATGAGAAAGGTTTGCTGGCAGACAGGAATAGGCAGATAATTATCATCCAACTCTGAAGCTCTACATATTCTTTTTTTTATCTCAATCGTTTGGCTTTAAATGATTATTTTACCAATTTGGGAAAACACTCTATTTCCCAAACTATTACTTTAAAGCCAATGCAAATACTATCAAAGTCCAGACACCCTTATCAAACTTATATTCCTATCTGGTTTCTTCAGTAGAGCTGGAATAAAACAACTATAAATACCAAAAACAGCACCAAATGTCAGACAAAGAAAAAGTCAAAGTCAAGCTAGCAACACAGAACTGGACCGTCAAAACAGAACCTAAACATTATTGGTATTACCAAAAACACCTACACAGAAAGTTACAATAACAACTGAAACCTTCAGCTCACTATAACGCCATGTTCAATATGTTGACCTTCACATCATGTAAAACATGAAAGGGACAATTGTGTATTTTACAAAAACATTAAGAGGAACTGTGATTATTCCTTTACGTCATGAGAGGAGCTAAGTCTAAACAGAAACTCCCGACCTTTACACACACAAACACAAGTATGTTTCTTATCTTGTGTTTATGAAGTAAATTCTTACAGATGTCAAACTGTTTGTTGGTGGTTTTACTATCTTTAGACAACATAACAAACCAAATTATGGCTATAGAACATTATCCCTTTTTTCTTTTATTTCTTATGTTAAATTATATCATTAGTGTTCAATTCAACACTACCATTTAGACAACTTAAAATGATGGTGCATTATTTATATTGTATTATATGTATGTGCATATATACAAAAATGCTTCCTACTCAGACATTCTGTGATCAAAATGTGCACACCATTAAAGATTGTTAATTTCTAGAAGATACTTTTATTTTAGCATGCTCTAACATTATGTCCTTGTTTCCTTTTCATTATGTCCTTGCTTCCTTTTCTTCTACAGGAAGTGCTGCACTGATTCAGAATCAGTACAGAGGAGTGGTTGGTGGAAATGTGACTTTTTACTGCCCCATTGATGAAAATAGCACACTAGAATTAATGTACATTCAAAGGGGCAACACGTTCGTAAATGGATACTATAAAAGAAAGAAAATAATGGATCCGGTATGGAGCAACACAAGAATCGACACTAAGAAGGGAACGATGCACATGTCCAGTTTGAATGTCTCACATCAAGGGAGATATCAGTGCCATATCATGTACATTGGCAGTGCCTTAGGCCATGTTACAACTGACATGCACCTCAGTGTCACAGGTATGAGTATGTTAACCTTTTAAAATGTAATTGTTTGAGTTGTGGGTTGTTAGGATATTTTGTTGTACCATGCAGTTGTTAAACCCATGTTTTAGTTCAGTTACACTTAAAGCGAGGATGCAGTTTCAAGAAAAGGAAGCTTAATTTCAAGACTACTTTATGTGTCTCCAAGCTAATTTATTTAGGTTGGAAGCAGAATAGGGAGACGATCAAAAGGTTATATATCACGTGACATAACTTTTCACCCCTGATAATAGACTTCAGTATCAAAAAACAACACATTTGCATTAATCCAGAACTATCTAAGTCATAATTGATCTGTGAGTTTGTGATCTTGGACTCAAAGTTAGCATGACATGCAGGAAATACAACTTATTATGAATGGCAGTGTTTTTTTTTGTCTCTGTCACTCTCATAGGAAACTACAGTAAACCTGTCCTTACAATGGACTGCTGTGATCAAAGCCCTCTCTTGAGTTGCCTACTGACATGTGTCGCGCATGGCGGCTTCCCGCAAGCAGAAGTGAAGTGGAACGTATCACAGACTCACACTTTGAAGGCTACGAACAACATTACGAGAGATAATGTCACCGAGTTGGTCAACACTTCCAGCACTGCACGCCTCAACTGCTCCAATGGAGAGATGTTTATCAGCTGCTCTGTGGGCAACCTCAGATCAGAACTGTTGTCAGTCTGTGAGTCCTAAACTTTTTTTAAAAAATAACTGTCCCTATGGTGTGCTTTTAAACCCTTTGCAAGTTTTGGTAAGTGTAAAAGGCAATACTTGGCATATGGCAAATGTTATGGAAATATGTGAGGATTTTTAAAACTCCTTTTACATGGTTGACAAAGAGTTTGTGTGACAGTTAAGAGATTTTTAAGGTTAAACCAAGTCCACAGCCAAGCCGACAGGTCTGTTAGGATGTAATTAGACATAGCCAGGCTTTCAGCTTAAATGCTTACATTAGCAGGTAAAATGTTAACTAAATTCACCATCTTAGTTAAACATGCTAACATTGGCTAACTAGCAATAGTAGCACATAGTACTGTATAGCAGAGGCTGGTTAAAACATAATTAGTTTTTCTGACATGTATTGAACCGAGTCAAATTTTGACCTGAACTTCACAGTTCAGCCCCAATGCTGCTGAATTTCTGCTTCAGTATATTTTCATTTGATCTATAGTGCCTGGCATGTGTACCTGTCGCAAAAAAAGTTAATTCAGGTTAGTTGTAGTTGGATCAAAAACAGATTTTTTTAGATAGACTTATAAGGGGAAAAAAACTAAAACTGTATCCATGGTTATGCCATCAACAGAGAACATATGTCGAAGTCCATATGTTTATGAGACTAATTTCCATGTGTTCTCCTCTCTAGGTAAACCCAAATATACATCTGATCCTCCCTGGCCTCATGTGATAACCGCAGTGTTGGCTGTCGGTGTTATGGTTGTTATGGTTGTTACGTTGCTGTGGTGTAAAAGCAAGAAATGTAAGAAAGGTAAGGACAGATATTAGGTGTTTCACAAGTTGTGTTTGTTTAAATACAAAAATGAAAGAATAAGAATGACTCCGTAACTTGAAAAAACTCACAGCACTTTCTATGTTGATTCCAGGAGAAAATGAAGACATTCATGAAGATGAGGAGTAAGTGGATGATTACAATTTATAACTATATATAATAATAATACTTTGATTTAATTCATAGGTAATGTCAAATACAACCTGTTGAAAAGTAAGATGAAGCACAAACTTTGCCTTTACTTTTTGTAACCTTTACATGAAATATTGTAAAACTGACTTATCCCTTCCTTTTCTTTCTTTTCTTCAGGGAGGGAATACGCCTCAATGGAAACAAAAAAGAGGAAACTTGAGTGCTTGATGAAGAGGAATGTCTGATGTATTTTTAGGGCCATTTCCCAGAAAAATTTCACTAAAGTGTAAATTACATAATGTGACTGCTGCCCGCGTACCAACTCACTGGACAGCCTACTGTCAACATGTCGCTGACATTTGAATAGAGGCAAGTGTTTGAGGAAGTATTACTACAGATTACTGTAATAGGGGAAGTATAGTGCATCATTGAAGGGAGAAAATCTTACTTAAATGACTTTTCCATTGTTTGTATGTAAGATTGTTGTCATATACTGGCAAAAGTCTCTGGGGACATACTCCCCAGCACTGTGAAGAATGAAATCATATCACAAATGGTAAAATGTGTGTTTTACTGTATCACTGACCTCTACTGACATAATTTGGATCTCTTACACAAATTATTGTGTTTAATCTTTTTGAAATACAGAACATTGTTGTTATTGTTGTTGTTGTTGTTGTTGTTGTTGTTGTTGTTGTTGCTGTTGTTGCTGCTGCTGCACTTGAAAACGTTCTATTAATTTATTCAATGTATATTAGAGCGTTATTTTTGTCAATATCTATTTTTAAAATGTACTGTGGTTCCCCTATTTCGTCTAGGATTATTCTCTTTTCAGTTTACTCTGTAAATAGTTTCAGTGGGAGAAGCTGAGAAAAGTAAAGAAATAGACGTCAGAATAATGTTTGCACATAAATAGTTCTCTGCGGTATAGTACATTTTCTGCAATAAATTCCAATATTTTAGGATTTCCTTGTAAAAGTGCAATATTCAATACAAATGTTTTGCTAAAAATGTTGGTCTCTGTCAGAACTTAAGCAATTGTTTTTCTGGTGACTGTTCTCCTATTCAATATTTATCTTGCAACATATTTAGTTAATTTTAAGGATTATTTCTCAATATCATTATTTAATTTGTTTACCCCATACTGTTCAGGTAAACTGGCTTTTCTTCCTCATTCCTAAGAATTGCCAACATCTCAAACTGCTTCTTTCATTTCCTTAATATGTAACAAACAATCCTGTTGGATGGCTATGTTAACTCAATTTTACATGAGTTCATTTTTATTCTTTGGTAATCCAATAAAGTAAATTAAACATGTTTGAATTACATTTTTGTTGTGTTGCATTCTTGACTAGCACATTGTATTTGAAGTCCTGCATGTCATTGTATTTAAACTTTTTAAGACCTTGCTGGGGCTTTTGGTTACACAAATCTCTAGAAATATACTGTAGCTTTAACCGAACTCATTCATTTTCCATTTTAAGTGACTTTTTTATTTGCCACTAGATGTCGCACTAGCACAGTAAAGAAGACAATTCTCCTGCTGTCACGGCAGATTGGCCTGTTTGGTATTGTGTTAACTACAATATCTGAAGATCAATGTTATCATTATTTAAGTACCACATATATTAGCCACATGCAATATGTGACTTAGTTGGCAAAAGCAACATGTTTTAAGCCGGCTTTGGGAGTTAAACAATATTTTACATTTAGCACATATTGTCTAATCACAGCAATGTAATCAAATGAACTATTAAGAGGGATACATTATGTCAATATGATGTCTCTCTGTCCTCAATATATTGTCACCTTCCAGGAAAAGAAGGATGGGCCCTGCTTTATTGAAGTAAAAAATAAATAAAATAAAAGCAGGAAATAGGAGAGGATTGTAGAGATGTGAGACGGCATCAAAGGATATGTTAATATGAGTGTATTGAGTCAATGACAGGAGAAAGGACAATGTTCTGTCTAAAAAAGAATATTGTTTACTTTGTCGAGAACTGTCATACTCCAAATACATCTCTGTTTTCCTGCTACTTTTTCTTCCTCCATTCTCTTTTTTCTTTTTTTCATAACACACTTCCATTTCTCTTCCCCGCTTGCTTTCACTCTGTCTCACTGTGAGTTACAGTGACAGGTTGTCAGTCCACCTCTCTGCCCTGTGTTTACATTGGGCAGCAGAGCAGCACCAGGCTGGTTGCACTTCAGGAATGTAACCCCCAAGGTCCCTGCCCCCCCCCTCCTCCTTCCCACATCACTCCTCCCCATCGTTATGCTTTCTCTCCTTCCTTCTTTAATTCCCTCATTGCACAAACTCACTCCTTCCCCTTCTCCTCACTTTCCTGTTATTACAGCTTCCGTGATTTCCCTTTCACTCCCCTCGTCCCTCTAATTATCCTCCCCTCTGCCACATCACCCCCCACCAACGAGCTCCCTTCTGCCACCGTCCTCTCCCCTTTTCTTCCACACGCTTTCTCTCCTCAGAACCTCCACTCCCCTTCTCCCTCGCCTTTTTCTATCCCCTTTTTAAAATTCAGAGAGCATTGTCCAAGCTCACTCACACCCCCCATTCCCCTGTCATCATCCCCTCACCTCCCACTCTTCCCCATCTCGCTGTCCTCCCTCCCTCATTCCTCTGCTGTCTAACCCAAACAAACCAGGGAGGACTTTCCTCTGTGGTGGTTGTGAGAGAAACACACCACATGTTAGACTTAGTTTAAACATAAACATTAGTCAATTTGAGGTACTGGAAAAAGGATATGAGGCGCTTAAGTTCAACATAAGATAGAGCTGCTATTTGGATATCTTAACGCTAAACTTACCACTGAATAAACAATAATCAGAACTGGATATTTTGGAGTGTATTTGGAAAAGCATATTATTTGGAGTGGGGAAACTGTATTAAAGAAAGACTCAAACAAATTACCCTCAAACTAAAATTATTCAAAAAGGTCCATTTCCATGTCCTAGAAAAAGTTAAAAACCTACACCACATAACGTTGAGTCACAGGGATTCCCTTTTTTTTATTCATCTGTGTTTGTTGATGATTGCTTTTGATCAAATGTAAACTTACTTTCAATCTATTGTGATTTTCAAAAGGATGAAACTACATGTATTTGAGATGTATTTGCCAAAAGGTATTAAGCATGATAATTAACTCTCATACTGACACATAGGAGATAAGGCAAAGAAAATAGACATAATAATTATGAAAATCTCTGTTCACTGTTCTGTTTTCTAGTAACACATCAGTGCGAAATCTCCTGCTTAATGGAGAAAGTGTTCAGTCAGTGGAATTTTTCAATAAGCGACGCGTGACCTCTGCCACAGTGTTCTGTGTGGCGTCCATACCGAGGGATTTATAATCAGATTACACTAGTTATGAAAGTCAACTAGATTAGTTTTAGTGCGGGGAGCCGGAGCACAAGGCATCGATTCACAGCAGGAGAGTGGAGCTGATCACGCATGAGGGAGATTGGACTGTTAACGTTCGTAAAATAACACCATTACACATCTCGGAATCAGATAAGCGTAAGCGTGCATGTGAATGTTTCTGTGTGTGGTGTAGGAATTCAAACAATAAAGTGGATGTTTCAACATTAAACAACATTTTATTTTGTAAGGACCAGAAAACATTGATAACTTTGATTTAGTTGTTGTCTTGTTTGTTCCTAGTTTACAAGACCTTCTAGTAAGTTCTTGTCTTGTGCTTTAAATGTGTGTATGTGTACATTTAAGTCGATAGATACATTTTTGTAGATGGGGTAGTAGAAGAGAATGAGGCAGACGAAGTTTAGCTCTGGTGCTTCAGCTGAGTGATCATGTTGTTGCTGTCACTACAGAAACCCTCTCCCTGACCTCCAGAGACAGGAGAGGTGACCTGGAAGCATTTATCACCTCTCTGCTTTCTGACCCATGACCTGAAGCCTGAGATATAGAAATGAAAACCAACACACCAGAAAGAAGAACTGAGAAGGTTCAAAAAAGAGTCAGCGAAGAGGGGACGGATGCATTCAGTAGTCGTTACACTAAATTAGTAAAATAAAGCAGTTTGTGACATTGCTCTTGAGAGGTATTCAAATATTTCTGGAAGAAAATGTGCTTTCTGTACTTTAAGGTTATTATGGCAGGTTTATGAAACTGTTGGAAACCAGTGTGGACTTTGAGACCGTGCATCAATGGCAATATTTATTTTGGTCAGATGATGAAAACGTAGCCGTCGTGTATGTGTGGTCCCACTTTTGGTGGAGCCAAAAACCATCAGTAGAGACTTGAAAGTGAGGAGACAGAGAGATATTTGCTGGCTGGGAGCCCAATATAACTATTAACACCTCTCTGTAATGGTGATACACCAAAGGAGTTCTTAGTCAAGACCTTTTCCACTGGGCCAATACCAAAAGTTATGTGCGTGTGTTGATGAGCGAAATCTGAGCAGACATTGACGAGAGTCACATCTCCTTCGAATATTTATAGAACAGCTTAAGATGTGACCTTTACTTTTGCACACAAGCCCCCCCTCACAGTTTTCATGCTGTGACTCTTATACTGTATGTCAATGAAACTGTACAGTAGACATTGTTCTGCTGCCTGAAACACTCCGACAGGTGATCATGCTGAAGTTGACTGTCCCGTGGGGTTATTGTTTGAGGGGGAGCCAATGAGAAAAACAGAGACCAGCGTGAGGGATTGGTGGGTGCGATGCCCAGTTGGCTGCAGAAGGTTGGCAGCCTCATGTTTCTGCAGAGGCTGAACATCAAAGACCATCAAGTGTTTCTAATGTGTAACGAAAGACTGTATGTGACATCACGCAATCTGATGTTTGTTACATGCTACAACTGTTTATGTCTTGCTACCAACTGTTTCGCATACCTGATAACCTACGTGATCATTTTTTACTTTTCACAGCTGACGAATGTGGAAATTCCTTTATTGTGACCTTATTTGATAAAAGAGACATTGTATATAATATGCAAACAACTGCAGAGGCAGAAATTGTAGAGTTTTAGCTTGTTTTGTTATCTCTTTATGCATGTGAATAAGAAAGGCCTAATATATTAAAGAGACAGCACAGTTTATTGGAGACCAGACAATTTAAATGAAAAAGATCAATATATGAAATTCAAGACTTGTTATGTTTTAAAAATATTTTCTCATAAAAATCTACCACAACAATCTGTCTTGTAACAGGTGTGCAGTTTAACCTTTTAAGTTATGTAGCTGTTAGTCTTTTAGGAATTTCATCAAGCCGGCAAATATGTAAGGTATGGCCCTGAAAAATGATCAAGCTGTTCAGTGAGTGTGAGTGTGTGTGTGTGTGTGTGTGTGTGTGTGTGTGTGTGTGTGTGTGTGTGTGTGTGTGTGTGTGTGTGTGTGTAGCCTAGCATTACTATACTTGTGGGGACCTACATCTGTTTACATAGTCACTGTGTGGGGACTCGCCTCCCTTATGGGGACAAATTGGAGGTCCCCATGAGGGGAATCATTAATTGTAGGGTTAGGGTAAGGGTAAGGTTAAGGGTAAGGGTTAGGGTTAGGCATGTGTTGGTTATGGTTAAGGTTAGGATAAGTCTCCAGGAAATGCATGTAAGTCAATGTAATGTCCCCTGAAGTGATGTATACATGGTATGTGTGTGTGTGTGTGTGGATTCTATCACTTCTGGCAATGGTTGTTGCAACAGCTGTGTGACATTTATCCAATTACTCTCTGCATACAACGGTATATCTTCTGTATAACTGATGCTGCATCAGGAGGTGTAGAGATGGGAAAGTTAAAAAAAAGAAAAGTATTGCTTGCTCTGACCGAAGAACTGTAAATGAAGGAGGCCCAACTGAAACTGAGTAACGACGTGAAGAAAAATGACTGACATGCTGTGCAAGCTGGGGACACTTGACACCAACAGGTCCCCAAGGCAACCTCCACTTAAATGTATCTCTACTACCCAGACGTGGTGAAGGATTTGAGAAGGGACAGGGTGTACAGGTGTCAACAGGGTCAAAATACAGAGACAAATGAAGGCAATACAGAGACATGAATTTGTTTCAATATGTTTCCCCACTGTATTTATCAGAGAAATACCTATGTATGAGTGTCCATGTGGAGGAGAGGAATGAAAGTGCGTGTATATGCATGTGTGTATTTGCGTATGTAAAAAGAGACACCTGAGATAGTTAGAAGGTCATTCCTGGAGTCTGGTCACATAGCTTTGATCATTTTCTTGTCGCCTCAGAAATAGACCAGAGAGGACGGGACGGGACAAACTCTCCCTTTTTGTGTGTGTGTGTGCGTGTGTGTGTGCGCATACGTGCGTATGTGTGTGTGTCCAAGGG